ATATTGTCTAGGTATCGACTTACCAATATTAGTGTTTTATGTACCCTTATCACGAGAAACGATATTCACCACACAAATCGACCGATTCTATCATGGACGGTGTTTTCAGGTATTAGGGTATTAATGGGACAGAATTTGCTTAAGAAAACAGTTGGCTATCAGATGTATTCACAATTGGCTATATCCAAATATTTAGTTGCGTTGTTGCGTGTTGCACATGTTTATCTACTGCACAACGGTAGGGTGGTGTGTTATGTGCACGTTTAAATGGCAATGGCTATACTGATATTCGATATAAATTCATTATGTCAAGAATTTGTACATTTGATAGAAAAAACACACAACAAGAGTAACAAATATCACCAGAAAAAGGACAATGTTAACATTCCACGCGTTCTGGGTATTGGGAGATTCATTAATACGTGTCGTTATTTAGATGAGGTTGTAATCCGTTTGAGATGGAGGTTGAGTGAGTTGTATGGGCGATGCAGTGATGTGGGAGATGTAGGTGACGTTGACGACGCAGGTGATGTGGGTGGTGTTAATGACGTGGGTGATGTTTGATGTCGAGAAGTTGTGTTAACGTGGATGATTACTTTGGTGATGCTGACAAACTGGTGTTGACGGCGTGGGTGATGTTGCAGTGTGTGATGGTGAAGACGTTGTTAATGTTGAGAAACTGGGGATGTTGGCGGCGTGAATGATGTTGACGGCGTGGGCGATGCTGGCAGTGTGTGATGGCGAGGACGTTGTTGATGTTGACAGCTTGGGTGATGCTCATGACGTCGATGATTACGTTTCTTGATGTTGACGACGTGGGTGATGTAGATGACATAGCTGATGTTGACGGAGTGGGTGATGTGATGGAATAACTCCATGATCATTTACGTTTTGATTACCAATATAACGTTCCTTGTTTTGAAAATTGCCAGATTTGACACAGCGATCTCACAACCCACACTTCAAAAACTGTGGACAATGGCAATCGCAACATAACGGCTCTTTCTTTTTATCATCTACGATGTCGATCAGATATTATGTTTTTACTTGTCGCAAGTTACAGGTTAACATTTAGAGACTGTTTAACGTTGTGGGTGGACATTTGATATACAAGTACAGTCACATCAAACAACCCCACCTCCTTGAGAATCTTCAAGAAAGGAATGTTTGGCTGAGACAGAAGAAGACCTGCTTTCAACATCAAATGACTACTTAGCGGTTTGTTTATCCAACTGAAGACACTGCACAAACTCACTTGGATCAACATTCATAACACATTTAGAACACCGTTAGTAGTTAGTATACATCGCATGTACAAGAGCTCAATCACCTGGATTGTGTTGGCAAGTATGTACATGTAAGTGAATATCATGGTACATGGTGAATCAGCTGGATTGTGTTGGCAAAGTATGTAGGTGAATATCATGGTGAATCAGCTGGATTGTGTTGGCAAGTATGTAGGTGAATATCATGGCACATGGTGAATCACCCGGATTGAGTTGGCAAGTATGTAGGTGAATATCATGGCACGTGGTGAATCACCTGGATTGTGTCGGTAAGTATGTAAGTGAATATCATGGCACGTGGTGAATCACCTAGATTGTATTGGTATGTAGGTGAATATGATGGCACATGGTGAATCACCTGGATTGTATTGGTAAGTAGGTGAATATGATGGCACATGGTGAATCACCTGGATTGTGTTGGCAAGTATGTAGGTGAATATGATGGCACATGGTGAATCACCTGGATTGTGTCGGTAAGTATGTAAGTGAATATCACGGCACGTGGTGAATCACCTAGATTGTATTGGTATGTAGGTGAATATGATGGCACATGGTGAATCACCTGGATTGTATTGGTAAGTAGGTGAATATGATGGCACATGTAGGTGAATATCATGGCCGTGGTGAATCACCTGGATTGTGTTGGCAAGTATGTAGGTGAATATCATGGCACGTGGTGAATCACCTGGATTGTGTTGGCAAGTATGTAGGTGAATATCATGGCACGTGGTGAAATCTGGATTGTGTTGGCTGGATTGTGTTCACCTGGTTGTGTTAAGTATGTAGGTGAATATCATGGCACGTGGTGAATCACCTGGATTATGTTGTAGGTGAATATCATGGCAAGTATGTAGGTGAACATCATGGCACATGGTGAATCACCTGGATTATGTTGGCAAGTATGTAGGTGAATATCATGGCACATGGTGAATCACCTGGATTATGTTGGCAAGTATGTAGGTGAACATCATGGCACATGGTGAATCATGTGGACAGTGCTAGCAACTATGTCGATGAATACCCAAGGGCAGGGATTAAGTATACATCACATGCACCTCAGCTGAATTACCTGGATTGTGCTCGCAATATGAAGGTGAATAACATGGCACATATAGTGAATGACCCGGATTGTGTTGGCAAGTATGTAGGTGAATATCAAAGGACATGAATCTAGTATACATCACACGTACCATAGCTGAATTACTTGGATTGTGCTCGCAATATGAGTGAGTGAGTGAGTGAGTGAGTTTAGTTTTACTCCGCACTCAGGAATATTCCAGCTATATAACACACTCACTCAATTAGCTGAGTTGAATAATATTAACATCAACTCTATCCTTGAACAAACACTAAACATGACTTTAACAGGTATAATATAGGCTCTACATGGAGTGTTTGCTTCAAGTGAATGATATAGGCTTGGGCAGTATGTGAGTGAGTGAGTTTAGTTTTACGCCGCATTCAGCAATATTCCAGCTATATGGCGGCGGTCTATAAATAAGCGAGTCTGGATCAGACAATCCAGTGATCAACAGCATGAGCATCGATATGCGCAATTGGGAACCGATGATATGAGTCAACCAAGTAAGCGAGCCTGAACACCCGATCCCGTTAGTTGACTCTCACGACAAGCATGGGTTACTGAAGATCAATATTCTAACCCGGATGTTCACGGGTAGGGCAGTATGTATTTTATCATGGCGTGTCAGCTTAACTTAGGAGGTATTAGTGACTTAGACGTTTATATGTTTTGTTAATGGGTATGGTCGTACCAATTATAATCATGGTGAATACTGGGTTCGAACTAACAACATGCTATTCAAAGGGACACAACTCGAAATGCGCCCTGCGCTACCAATGCTCTAACGGTCAGAGAAATATACAATTTGTAGGAACATTTTTTTCCGACTCTTGGGATGAGGCAAGTGAAATTGGGTTTAACGTCGCGCTGGAGAATATTTCGCTCATATGACGACGTGCATGCGTGTGTATATGTAGGTGCGGCTGCTTGAACTAGCCCAGACTGAAGCTGGTTTTATAGTGCTAGCCCACTGAGATACCAAGCCGCAGTGAAGCATGAATACCCCACTCAGACACAATATACTGACTCCGAGCCGACCAGTCCTTGTTGTACCCATCAATGCCGAGCGCCAGACAGGGACCAACAAGTGCCATATTTTAACGTCTTTTGGTATGACGCGGTCGGGGATCGAACCCGCGACCTTCCGCTCTCCGGGCAGACGCTCTAACCACTACACCACGGAGGCGGTCTCCGACTCTTGAACGAATTGAACCCGACACTATTCAATCGTTGACTTGGGCGATGGAGTAGCCTTGTGGTTAAAGCGTACGCTCTTCAAGCCGACCACTCGGGTTCGACACCCCACATGGGTAAAACGTGTGAAGCCCATTTCTGGTGTTCCCTGCCGTGATATTGCGGGAATATTGCTAAAAGCGGCGTAAAACTAAACTCACTTACTCACTCACTCAAGCATTGACTTTACTAACTGGTTCCTTTTCAGGAGCTTGTTTTTCAGCTGTTCACTTACATAAACGCTTGACTTATTATTGGTCAGACATTAGCACGTGTTGTAGGAAATCTTTTTGGCAGGAAAACTGAGATTAATTATCAATTCTTATCGAATTCATCGGCCAATTACAACTTTGACTGTTCTGTATTTTCACTGCGCATGCCAGATGTCACGTGTACTGGTCACACCTCTTTCAGGATATATGCTGCATACCTAGCTCCCGACACCGTCACTGATAACCTTCTAGATAACAATATTCCTGCCTATTGCACCGAAAATCATATATCTTAACAACAATTAACAACCGTGATATCACGTGCAGCCCGCTTGCTCGGATCACTCAGACGTCGGGTGCGTTTTGGCGCCGGGACAAAGGGTGTCATAGCCTCTCGAGGACCCTTTGGTTCAGAAACACGACATAAATTTCGCAAACGCATATCTTGAGAAACCGTTCTTGTGACAGAAATGCACCTAAAGATTTTATGTTTTAGCTTTGACAAGCGTGGCAATTGTTACTAGGTAGATCACGGATGTTTGGCACGGAGGGAAGAAATGCTTGTACTTCTTTACCGACAATAGCACGAGGAACATCTATCATCGGCTAATCCGTTCCCTGTTCTGTCGTTGTAAGGAGATTCATCGCACCAAACAGGCAGCGTCTTCATGCTGCACGCTTCAAACTCCCTGTTATGTTCTGTACGTGCTGATGTTCTTGGATGACAAACATAGTGGCATTAAACATAGGTTTTTTAATCAGCCATTACTAAGGGGAGGTAAGTCCATACTTTTTGGATCCAAGGGAGATAACTAGCTACTTCCAGTTGGCTTGTGTCACTCAAGGCTTCAGGAGTTGTCTCCCATATGTCACTGGGGCCATAACATTACATCCCCTTTGTTTTGAACAAAATGTTTGTCATAACAACTAGGATATCGATGCTATACTATCAGAATGTTATAGGAGAAGATATCTTGTATATAATGTCAACACTGATACACGTGGGCGTTCACACGTATTGTTACTTGGCACTGGCGGACCAGATGTCTTTGGCACAGTTCAGAAACAAGATCACTACAACTGGTCCGTTAATATTTTCTGGTAACGATAAAGCACGAACTGATGACATGTAAATTAAACAACACTAACTGAGTAACTAAGAACTATCAACTAGGGTAACTTTGCAGTCTATAGGTTCAACTTTTGAGGAGCTCTTACGACTCTTCCAGATCTGGTAACAGTCATTGGTTTGGACGGTGTTGGTTTGGACGATGTTGATGCTGTCACCTTCTGGAGTGGCACTGATGTCAAGTCCGTTGGTGTATCATCGGTATTGCTGCTGGGGTTTCTCATTGGTGTGTGTTTTAGGTGGCGCCTGTTGCGTTGATATTGGGCACCATCTGCTGTCTGCACTTGGTATGAGCGATTTGGATCTACTCTGGTGATCTGGGCTGGCTTCCAGGTTTTGTCAGCGGTCTGCAAATAGATACTGTCATTCATTTGAAGCGGTGGCAGATTCCTGGCGGCTCGGTCATAGAACAGTTTCTGACGGGACTGAACTTGTTCGCGTCTTGCACACACATCGGCAGGTTCGACAACTTTGGGCTGAAGTTGTTTGCCAGTGGTGGGAAGCACTGACCGCAGACGTCGGCTCATCAGAAGTTGCGCGCGAAGCCAAGTTGTCAACTGGTGTTGTCCGATATTCTAGCAGTGCAAGGAGTGGATCAATGCCATCCTTGTATGTTTTGTCCAGAATGTTCTTCGATATTTGCACACACTTTTCAGCTAGTCCATTGGACTGAGGATATCTGGGGCTTGATGTAATATGTTTGAAGTCCCATCTGCTGGCGAAGTCTGCAAATTCAGCTGATGCAAATTGTGGACCGTTGTCACTCATCAGGATTTCAGGGATCCCATGACGTGCAAAGTTGACGGATAACTTGCGGATCACTGCTGATGAAGACAGGCTTCTGAGCTGGTCTATTTCGAAGAAACGACTGTAGTAGTCAGCCAGAACGATGTACTCTTTGTTGTTCCAAGTGAACAGGTCTGCACACACCTTCTGCCAGGGACGCGGCATGGTATTTCATGTGGCTGTAGTGGTTCCTTGCTGTTTGATCTCTGTTTCTCACAGCATACTGTACAATTGGCAACTGCAGCTTCAATCTCTGCGTTCATGCCGGGCCAGAATAGAATGTCACGGGCTCGTTCTTTGCACTTCTCCATTCGAAGTGACTGGAGTGGATCTTCTGGAGGAGCTCGGATCTCTGGCCTTTGGGAATGATGATTTTTCCCTTTGAATATGAGACCATCCATGGCGGTAAGTTGGTCCCGATGATTCCAGTATTCGATGATGCTTTCTGGACATTCGCTTCTGGAATCTGGCCAACCATTGAGGATGGTTGTCCTCAGTTGTTTCATCTGAACATCATTGTTAATGGCGTCTCGTAGTTGTGACATCTTGTGGTCACTCACAGGAGATTTCATGAGTACCATATGAACTTGCGCTTCCATTTCTTCTGACATCCCATCGTCTTTTGTAGTCAGAAACTTGCGCGAGAGCGTGTCAGCAACTGGTATGTCTTTTCCTGCAACATGGACGATACGTAGATCATACTTCTGTAATTGCAGTAGCATACGCTGGAGGCGTGCAGGTGCTGCCGTCAAAGGTTTCTTCATGATACTTTCAAGCGGCTTGTGATCTGACTCAACGGTCACGGTGTGGCCATAGATGCACTGATGATACCGCTTGCAACCAAACAGGATTGCATAAAGTTCCTTCTCAATTTGAGCATAGTTCTGCTCGCTAGGGGTCAAAGCCTTTGAAGCATATGCCACTGGTTTCTTGTCTTGGAGCAAGGTGGCACCTAATCCATTCTTCGAGGCATCTACTTGTAGAGTAATGGGCTTTTTCGGATCAAAGAAGGCGAGGGACGGGCTCACTTGTGATTAGTAACTTGACCTTCTCCAGGGCGTCGTTTTTGGCGTTTGTCCCAGTGGAACTCTACGTCCTGCTTCAACAGTTCCCTCATTGGGCTGGTGACTTCTGAAAGGGAAGGTCGCGAACTTGGCGAGGTAGGTGATCATGCCAAGCATTGTGTCCAACTCTTGTTTATCTTTGGGAGGCTGACATTTGCTTGATGGCTTCGACTTTGTGGGGTCTGGTTTTGTGCCCTCTGCTGTGATGAGATGACCAAAGTAACTGACCTCAGTGACACCAATGGATAACTTGTCAGGGTTGAGGCGGACGTTCTTTTGTCGACAACGACTTAGTACAGCTTGTAGATTGGCATCATGTTCCTTCCTGGTCCTTCCATGAACCAGGATATCATCAACTATTGCAACTGTTCCTGTGAGGTCTCCAAATGTTTCATCTATCTTACGCTGAAATTCATCCTGGGCTGAGACAAGTCCAAATGGCATAACGCATGAATCTGTATCTGCCATATATTGAGTTGAACGTTGTCAAGTATGATGATTTCTCAGAGTTTGATATTCCAGTACCCAGATCTTGCATCCAGTTTACTGAAGTATTTGGATCCTGTCAGTTTGGTGAGCGCATCTTCAAGTGTCGGCATGTGATAGTGTGGTCGCTTGATGGCGTTGTTGAGATCAAGGGGTCAGACATATTCGGAGCTTCCGCTGTGAGGTTTCTCAACGACAACCAGGGGAGTTGACCCAGTCTGTAGGCTCGGTAACTTTGGAGATTATGCCCATCTTCTCCATCTTGTCGAGCTCATCTTTCAGCCGGTCTCTGATTGCGATTGGGACGGCGTCTTGGTGGATGCCGCGGAAGGGTAGCATCTGGCTTAAGATGTATCGAGCATTCACCTTCGGATTCTCCACACCTGTGAAGACATCCTTGAAGTCAGATAGCACTGATTCTTTTGTCATGGGGTTAGGAGATTCTGCCTTCGGCTGGGCTTCCAGGGCAAGGACAAGCTTGATGAGTTGCAGTGACAAGGATGCTGGAAGGCCTATTACTGGAGGTGCGTTGGCTTCCACAACATAAAACTTTCGGTTGCTGACCGTTCCTTGTACTGACACTGAAGTTGAATCGCCCAGGACTTTGAGAACATGTCCTGAGTAGTTGGTGAGACGCTGATCAGCTTCTTCGAGTGGGTGCTGGGCGGGCATCTTGTCGTATTCCTTCTTGGGAATGACATTGACTTGTGCTCCTGTGTCGATCTTGAAGCTGATTGTGTGGTCTCCATCCACACTGATATCGGCAAAGGCTTGGTTGGGGAACTCATTAGCTTCGCCATTGATGGCGATCAATATACAGGTCGGTGTCTGAATCTGAGTCCAAAGCATAATCAATAGTGTGGATCTTCTTCTTGCCCCTTGTGTTGTTTATTGGTCTCTGCGTCTGTGTACTGCTGCGGCAGACTTTGGAAAAATGGTTCCACTTCTTGCACTTGTGGCACTGTATTCCTCTGGCAGGGCACTTCTCCTTGTTGTGCTCATGATGCCCCCCACAATTTCCGCATTCATTCTGACCAGATTTGTGTTCTTGACCATGTCGGTATGGGTAGGATCTTGTTCTGTGTTTGTTGATAGCATCAACGTTCTCAGCACTGTGCGAGGCAGACATCAGTTTCAGGTGAGACTGAGTTATTTCGTAAGATCTTGTGATCTCGATGGCCTGCTGCATTGTCAGTGAGTCGCCTTGTGTGAGTAATTTCTCGCAGATTGTTTTTGAAATAATGCATAAATGATTCTATCGCGGACCATTTCTTCAGGCTTGTCATATGCACAGTCTTTAACGAGGAGTTGTAGGTGTGTTACTGAACTCTTCAATTGACTCTCCTCCTTTGCGAGCGTGTATGAAACTTGTAACGTCATGAAGATAATGCTTGTTTTCGGTGCTACATATTGTCCAAATTTGTCAAAATGGCTTTGGAGGCTTTTTCTTCAGTTTCAGACATGGTAAATGTGTTGTAAATGTCCCTACCTTTGGCACCGACCCATATCAGCAAATATGAACACTGTTCTTCTTCACTAACTTTCTTCAAGGGTCCTTTGAACATTAATGTCACATGCTGTTTAAACTTCTTCCACTCTTCTGGTAGATTTTTGGCGCTCCAGTCAATGCAGGGGTTTACTTGTGAGGTAGCCATGCTGATTTGAGCTTGTTCACACTATTGTTCACAAAAACAGTCTCATCCGATTAGAAATCAGCCTTCAGAATGAAATGACACTTGTAGAATGAGCTGCAGGCATGGAACTTGCTTATCCTGCTATTCTGACACCATGTTATGTTCTGTACGTGCCATAACATTACACTCCCCACAACGCGTTTTTCTCCCTTTCTTTCGGTCATATCTCAAAATAACATGATCTCTATTTAGGACAACCGTTACTCGTTTCTATTCTGCATTCCTATTTTGAAGACCTTTAAGACATATTTGAAGTGAATTTACATTGTTCGTTTCGGTAAAAGACCCCGTTTGTACTCACAAGAAAAACAGAAAAAATGCGAACGTGTTAGCGTCAATTAGTATGGGGGTAATGGTATATCTCCATGTTCTTAACCGATGCAAGATGCTTCAGATTATTCCGCAAAGGAAATTACAAGTTATAGGTATGCTGTCATAGTGACCGGTGTGGCCTAGGGTCGGATCTATAATTTTCTTACACTCCGCCAAAGTAACTGGAACGACCTGGAACAATGTGTTGTGTGTCTTGTATCAGTGACAGAAAAAATCAGTCAGCTTGAGACAAAAATACAAGCCCTCGCAAGATACATACTTGAATATTCCATGTTTATCCAGGGACTTGTGATGACAGGAAGACATTCCTCAACTCTTATATCCTTGGTAATCTTTGCCTCACACACAGTGCAGAACTGAATGAAATATCGGAGGATATTTTGCCTTAATTTACAGTGCATGGTCGTGTCACTGAAAACGCGGGTTCGAATCTTGTAACTATGACTTTTGAAGTGATGGGCATGTCAGTGATTACCAAGGTGTGTTCCGATTGGATACATGTAACAAGGTGTACGGGCATGTCAGTGATTACCACGGTGTGTTCCGATTGGATACATATAACAAGGTGTACGGGCATGTAAATGATTACAGGGGACGTTTAGACAAACGCTTGGTCCCTGAATTTATATAAATTTGATGATAACAAATAAACCTATTTAAATTGAAAAGGAACCCCAGTGAGTTGAGAGATTCAGAGAAATCTAGACTTGTGTCAGGCCTTTGGCATTGCAGGGAGGGCTAGACAGTTAGGAAAATAATGTGCTTGGGGGGACTGTAAGACAGACTAGGGTACATACAGGGATTTGTTCCGAATTGGTATATGTACCGAGGCTATAAGCATGTTAATGATTACAGCGGTGTGTTCCGATTTCATACATAGGTTATATGCATGCCAATTATTACAGCGGTGTGTTCCGATTTGATACATGCACCGAGGTTATAGACATGTTAATGATTACAGCGGTATGTTCCGATTTGATACGTGTACCGAGATTATAAGCATGCCGGTGATCACGGGGGTACATTCCGATTGATACATATTCCGAAGTTATATGTACGTCAATGATCACAACGGTATGTTCCGATTGTTTTCTTTTCCTTGATGCCAGGCCGCCATGTTGTCCAACTGCCCCACCTGCGCATTAACCTCATATCACACATACCAACATGGCGGACCAGTGTTATCGTTGTCCGTACTCCACACACCTCAAACAGCGCATTCTCTCACACATCAATCTCCCGAAGATGAGATAGCGCCGAAACCACAAGACACAGACGTTTAAAAAGCACTATGTGAGTGTTGGAACGATTGTATTGAATACTACCGAGCGTATAACAGCGATACGGCAGACATTACTGCTGATCCCGCACTGATATGGCTCTCAACAGCGCCATTGCCGGAGCGAATCTTTTAACACTTTCCTCGTAAACCGAGCCGAGTTGAAAACACCCAGGAAGATCCGAATGCATACATCGTTGGCCCCTACTGAACTAAGGGCAGGGAGTCCGATGTTTCGCATCGTTGATATTGGTCGTTGACATTCGGAGAGAAGACGTTCTTCACAATGCATTTTCATAATAGTTGCAGGCAATAACATCAAGTGATGGTTATTCGCATCTTCTCGTCCTATTGATGTCATCTCACCACATTCGTCACTCTTGGTCCCAAATCTGTCAGCACCATGCTCTAGTCTGTAAGGGCGGTGGGATAGCCTAGTGGGTAAAGCGTTTGACCGTCACGCCGAAGATCCGGGTTTGATTCCCTACATGGGTATAATGTAAAGCCCATTTCTGGTGTCCCCCCGCAGTGTTATTGCTGGAATATTACTAAAAGCGGCGTAAAACCATACTCACTCACCCCTACCTGAAACAAATATACCCAATTTAGCCCATGCAAGTCGAATGTGTGGCAAGTCAAGATTACCACAGTTTCAGTTTCCGAAAATGAAGAAAGTCTCTGGGCCCCTTTTTATTGTAATTTATTTTAATTTAAAAACTTTTTTTTCTGTGAAATATTTTCATTTCAGAGACAAGCTGTTAGTCTATACCATACCCATGCTCGTGGGTTTCACGGGGGTGAAAGTCGTAGACCAGCTTTACTTCGGGCTTTCCTCCTTCATGTTCACAAAGCGCCTCCGTGGTGTAGTGGTTAGAGCGGGTTCGATCCCCGGCCGAGTCATACCAAAAGACGTTAAAATATGGTACTTGTTGCTCCGTGCCTGGAGGTCGGCATTAATGGGTACAACAAGGACTTGTCGGCTTGGAGTCAGTATAATGTGTCTGTGTGGGATATTCATGCTTAACTGCGGCATGGTATCTCAGTGAGCTAGCACTATAGCACTATAAAACCAGCTTAAGTTTGGGCTAGTACAAGCAGCCACACATACACACGCATGCACGTCATCATATGAGCGAAATATTCTCAAGTACGACGTTCACCTCACCTCATGGTCACAATAATATACGACTCCTCTTTCCACATGAGTGAGTGAGTTTACTTTTACGCGGCACTCAGCAATATTCCAGCCATATGGCGGCGGTCTGTAAATAAGCGAGTCTGGATCAGACAATCCTGTGATCAACAGCATGAACATCGATCTACGCAGTTGGGATACGATGACATGTGTCAACCAAGTCAGCGAGCCTGACCACCTGATCCCGTTAGTCGCCTCTTCCGACAAGCATGGGTTACTGGAGACCAATTCTAACCCGGACTTTCACGGGTTGGTAGTCTGGTATCAATACTCCAATTGCTTGTGTACAGCCGACCGCGAGCAGGATGCGCTGCACGGAGGAAACGCCGGGGGATAAACCTTAACCACGCTCGCCCTGTATTTAAAGAAAACCCAAAAGGTTGTTAAATTATCTTGATAAAATCTGATGAAAAGTAACCGTGACACCTTTTAGAAACAGCACTATTAATGACTTTCC